GATGCTTTTGAACTGTGGTGTTGGAGAAGACTCTTGAGAGTCCCTTGGACTGCAAGGAGATCTAACCAGTCCATCCTAAAGGAGATCAGTCCTGAGTGTTCATTGGAAGGACTGATGCTGAAGCTGAAGCTCCAATACTTTGGCCACCTGATGCAAAGAACTGACTCATTGGAAAAGACCCTGATGCCGGGAAAGATTAAGGGTGAGAGGAGAAGGGGACGACAGAGCATGAGATGGTTGGATGCCATCACTCACTCAACAGACTTGAGTTTGGGTAAACTCCAGGAGTTGGTGATTGATAGGGAGGCCTGGCATGCTGCAGTCCATGGGGTCACAAAGAGCTGGACATGACTTAGTGACTGAATTGAACTGAACTGATATATATACAAAGCAGAATCACTTTGCTATCCACCTGAAACATCATGAATCAACCATACATCAATTTTAAAAAAGACTCACTAAAAGAGAAATACCTGAAAAGTTTTATTGAATTTCTTCAAATTACTTTTGACTGCTTTTACATACAAAAGTAGAAAACAACTCTAAGTTTTAAGTCCTCTAATATTAAGATATTCCTTTAAGCTTATAGAAAATTCCTATAGACAACTTCTATTGAAGAGTAGAAGTAAGACAACTCATAAATTCAAAACCCACAATCTTTCTTTTATTGTTATAAATTTTGCACAAGAGTTGCTAAGTCTTCAAAAAATAACATAGTTTTTTTTCCAAAGTCTTCAATTGCTCTGTGGGGACCTGTTGCTTTCCCAATCAACTTTAATTATTTGCTTAGTTTTTAAGACTCCACACCACTTGATGTCACCCATAATTAAACTTGATTTTACATTTCACTCTGAATCTCGGCTCCCTTTTCACCAACTGGCAATGATGGCATCTAGGCTCCCCAAATTTTGGAAAAATATCTTTTACAGGTGAGCCAGGTTTACCGAGTATATTATCTGCCTACCTAGAAAGAGGCTTAACTGCCTGATGATATTACTGCAAATTGTTGCTCAGAAAGAAAGAGACAAAACAAAGTTAGCAGCACTAAAAAACAGGTGTGCATGCTCTTTGACACGATAATTACAATTTCAGGAATTTATCCTAAAGAAAAAAATTAAAAATACACTGTTCATAACAGTGAAAGAATTCCCAACAACATAAATGTTCAACAATAAGTTTTCTTTAAAAATTATTCTCTAGCAACATAGTGGAGTTCAATTAAACTTTATACATGAAATTTTAAAATTTACTGATATCAAAAAGCAAATGATTTATTAATTTAAAAAAGCAGGTTAACAAAATTATATGTGATCCCATTGTTAGAAAAACATCTATCTAAAGATATATAAATGCTTACAAAATATTGAAAATCAAGATATCAAAAATTCACTTGCGCTCTGGGTAAAAAAAGAAAAAAAAAAATATCAAATATTAACAGTGTTTTTATCCTTGATAGAATCACAGGTAATATTATTTTTCTGTGCTTTCTTCCACTTTAAAGATTTTTTTCTTTTATAAAAGTATGTTACACTTTTCAATGATTTTTTAAGTGTTATCAAAATTTACTGGATATATTTATTTTTTAATGTTAAGTAATTGAGTCTCTGACTCTCTGTGTATGTGTGTGTGTGTGTGTGTGTGTGTGTGTGTGTATCTTTTTCCCCCTTCTTTCCTTCCTTCCTTTTTTTTTAAAAAATATGCATCTTTTTTCTCATTTCCACTTTTATCATGCCCACACATACAGGAACATCTTCCTTAAATTTAGTTTGTTGACCTCAAATGACAGTACTTACTCTTCTCTCCACAGAGGTAAGATCTGGTTCTAGGCTTTGAAAGAAATAAATAACATCTTAAAAATAAATGCTCTTACCTGAATATCAGTCAGTTTTTCTAAGATGCGGCTTGCAAGCTTAGGACCATTCTCCATAGTTGGAATGTGTATAGTCTATAAAAGAAAACCAGACATGAACTAATTTGAGGATATTCATGTACACAGTGACAACAAGTAAGAAACTAAGCAATTTTACCAAAATAGGGAATGACAGTATGATAACCTTGTTAAATATGCTAACTTCTATGCCAAAGATTCTTTCTTATTCTTAACTTGAATAAACACAATCTAGTCAATGCTAGGCTGTTCATCTCCTACCAGCTGATTTCAGGGCACAATGGTTTATATGCCAATCTCCAGGTTGCTCTGAAGGACCAGTGAGAAGCCAGGGGTACCTAGAACAGTGGCTAAACTTAAAGAACCCTACTTCCTCCAGCATCCTGAGAATCTACAAAGGTGAGATATTAGCCTCCACATCTAACCCTTTTGGCAGGGAATGAGAACTCAAAAGATATTCTGCCATGAATTAAAGCAAGCCATTTCAGGGACATAAGTTGTTTTTGTTGTTGTTGTTTGTTTTCTGGCCTTGTTGTACGGCATGCAGGATCTTAGTTCCCTGACCAGGGATCGAACCTGTGCCCCCTGCAATGGAAGCATGGAGCCTTAACCACCAGATCACCACGGAAGTCTATCAGTAACGTAAATGCAAACAAGTCTATGTCTTCACAAAAGGGGTTACTAAATCTGTCGGTTCTAAGCCAAGCTTCCAAGGGCCACAAATTCCACAAAGTTGCACAGATGGCTAAAGTCAGGGCAAAGAGATTTTATGACCCTAATCTGTATTTCAAGTCATGCCTACTCATGCCTTGCTGGGCTTCAGGCTTTTGATAGTTTGATTTTAGTAGACAGTCTATACTCCTACTTTTCTTATTATACTCTTTAGGATAACAAGATAATTAGATATGCCTTTTGGCTCTGACTGCTCCCCTAAAACAAGACCACAAAATGTGTTAAACTTTATAAACTTACTTCTAAAGATGAAGTACGGAGAAGGCAATGGCACCCCACTCCAGTACTCTTGCCTGGGAAATCCCATGGACGGAGGAGCCTGGTGGGCTGTAGTCCATGGGGTCGCTAAGAGTCAGACACGACTGAGCGACTTCACTTTCACTTTTCACTTTCATGCCTTGGAGAAGGAAATGGCAACCCACTCCAGTGTTCTTGCCTGGAGAATCCCAGGGACGGGGGAGCCTGGTGGGCTGCTGTCTATGAGGTCACACAGAGTCAGACATGACTGAAGCGACTTAGCAGCAGCAGCAGAGATGAACTAACAACTGGACTTTAAAAATCTGACCCAGGGACATCCCTGATGGTCCAGTGACCAAGAATCCACCTTGCAGGGCAGGGGAAGTGGGTTCGATCCCTGGTCAGGGAACCAAGATCTCACATGCTGTGGAGTGACTAAGCCTGTGTGTCACAGCTAGAGAGACTCTGTATGCTGCAAGGAAAGATCCTCCGTGATACCACGAAGACCCCATACAGCCAAGTAAATAAATAAATATTAAAAGAAACATGTGCTTTAAAAAAAACTGACCTAATGACAACTTTAGTTCATTTAAGTGTAGACCAATAATATATTATCTAGTTATTACCACAGCAAAATGTGAAATAGTAGCTTTATAATCAGTACAAGTATCCATATATAATAAAATAATCCTTTTCCCTTGAAATCATCTATCTGTTCATGCAATTATGTCAAGTTTTTGAAAATCCCAAGCAATGAAGCAACCATCATTTAAATCAGCAGAAAAAAAATCAGTTCACCCAATTGAGGAAACATAATTATAATGCTGAATTTAAAAACCAATAGAATTTGCATTTACTATTATGAATAATTTAAGCCAATTATATTATAAAAACAATGCACCTATGCCTCTGAATTATGAAGTTAGATGAGGACGGAGCTATGTTGTTATAAAGAAGAAAGAAAAAACAACAACAACAAAAAAACACTGACAAGAAATGGAAATACAGCATATATAAACAAGATTACTTTAATAGGAGAAAATGTCTTCCAACTAAAGGCTTCTGGAAGTAAATGCATCATGTTTGTCAAATGAAAGTTTTTTATGAAGTGGTTTAATTAATGATGATGATGAAGATGAAAAACACTCACTCATCATTCAAATGAGTTTTCCTTAACAATTTGCTATTCCTCCTCCAGCAGTTAGGAAGCACCTTTGGAAACCAGAGACTGAAAGCGACTACTTGTTAAGTCCTCTCCTGTGGCTTCCCTGGTGACCCAGTGGTAAAGATGAACCTGCTAATGCAGGAGACTCATGTTTGACACCTAGTCTGGGAAGATTCCCTGGAGAAGGATATGGCAACCCACTCTAGTATTCTTGCCTGGAGAATCCCATGGACAGAGGAGCTTGGCAGGCTACAGCCCATGGGGTAGCAGAATCAGACCCAACTTAGCGACTGAACAAGAAGACCTTCCTTAGCGAGATGCTAGATGAGTGTCAGCCTACTGGCATACTTAAGGCAGGTATGAAAGGATGAAACTGCTGGAGCTTTCAGAAGACCACTGGAAAGATGACTAAGTCATTTGCTAACACAGGTTCATAAAGACAACTGCCTCAGTTAACAGAATATCAAGTTATTTTAAAAATCCTTTGCATGCTGAGGCCAACTAGCATTTTGTCCATATATGTATCCAAAGAGTTAAGTTATAGGCAAGTGTTTGAAAATGACAGGAAGTGAAGAAACAATGTCTTACCTCACCCTTGTACAGTATAGTCGAAACGGGGCAAACAATACAGGCGGTACCGGAACCAAACATCTCCCTCACGCGGCTCTCCTCCACAGCTGTGGTCAAGTCAGCCATGGTGAGGTATCTCTCGGATACCTTAAATTCACCCTGTTTGGAACAGAAATAAAAACAAATGTAATTCAAGAGGGAGGGGACAGATGTACACCTAGGGCTGATTCATGTTATTTGGCAGAAAAAAACAGCGAAATTCTGTAAAGCAATTATCCTTCAATTAAAAAATAGATTTTATATATACATACATATATATATACACACAAACATATATATATATACACACACATATATATATTTAAGGAAAAAGACATGCAAAAAATGCCCTGAGGTACAGACCTTTCTACTTTACCTTCTGACTGAACTGAAACAATGTCATAATCATATTTAGAAGAAAAGCTGGAAAGAGTGACATCATCTTTTGGGAAACATACCAAGATGCTAAGAAACCTACTCCAAGGTCACAGCATCTCTAAATGAGATGACCGGAATATCAAATATAAGATGAGCATGATAAAGTACACGGTATATTTTAACACTTGCTTTCTTTTCTGCCTTTTGTTATCTTATTTTGTTATTTTCTGCCTTTTGTTATTTTAACACTTGCTTTCTTTTCTGCCTTTGTTATCATGGGCAAAGTTTCACAAGCTGATGCACTCCAGTGTTACTTAATGTGTGTTCCAAACCCTCTTTATCATAAGACAAAGTACATTATTATCTAATATTAGTAATTAGAGCCACTATTTAGTGAGCATCAGTTACACACCACGTCCTCTAATTTTTAAGGTGGGTACTATCACCCTCCTTTACAGATGAGAAAATTAAGGTTCAAGGACATTGAATGACATCCCTGAGACCTCACAGCTAGGTCATGGCAGAAATTGGATTTGAACTCAGGTCTGATTGGACTGACTCCAAATCTAGTCCTCTTCCTACTGTGTCTTTTACAGAGTAGAAACAGGGCTGAGTTTAAATATTTGAAATATTTCATTATTTTAAAACATACATAGATAGCATATTTGAGAAATTACACTGTGTGTTTTTCTTCCCCTAATATCACTGATTCAGTTGACTTTACAGCAGTAATCCTCTTCTTTTTCTCTGATGCCATTTTAGGTTGAGTTTCATCACAGAATTACTGGTATACCCTCTCATCAACTTCCTCTGAATTATTTGAACATCTGCTCAAGGATAGGAAGTGGGAAAAAAAAAAAACACCTGATGCGTTTAAGCTGTGTTTAAACTAACTGTTTCATACTGATTCTTTAATCTGTTTAATTCTCATTCTTTGTTAGTAGTTGAAGCTAAAAAAAAAAAAGCTGGTCAAGAGGCTATTTGAATTAAGGGCAGCAAAGCATGAATGCTTCAAGTAAGAAGAGAGTATTTTTTTTTTAAATGTACAAGCCCACGACAGATACAAATGGAAATCACAGCCCTTGGCAAGATTCAAAGCATTAGAAGAAGACCGCTTCATGCTATAAGTATATTTGGAAAGATAAGAAAAAATATGCCTGCAATAGAAATTTGGCTTTTTGTAAGTTTCAATGTATCTCAGTCTGCAACTGCAATTAAGTCTTACAAAGGTAAGTAAATAAGTAAATAAATAAACTCCAGAAAATCAGCCAAGTTAAAGCTGAGTTCTGTGTTCTGGAAAAGAAAAAAAAAAAAAATCTCCTGTAAATAAACAGAATTGTTTTTCCTCTCCTCACCCTCCTTTATCTTTGGACAATTTCCCCCTGTCTGGCAAATACTGGTAACCCCCCACATGCCTCTTGGCGTGTATGTCTCACAGTTTTAAAAATAAATTATAGCTAAGGAGTCAAGAAAAAACTTCCTCCATAATAACCTATTTTTCATGCGAGCAAATCATTAGTGTGGGAAAGCATTTCCACTTGCAACTTGTCATCAAACCTTCTGTACTTGGTTGATTTTTCTCTTTAATGAAACAAAAATTACTGAGCTTGGAAAATACATCTTTCCAACTGCAAACATATTTAGGACAGGGCAAGCTGTTTGAAATTATACCAACAGTTTGTAAATGTCATGCCCAATGTGCCAGCCAGCATGTGGCAGTTGGGTCTTGTCTACTTCAGGGTTTTGTAGAATTATTTATAGCACATTTTCTCTACTTCCAAAGCCTTTTCCAAAGAAACTGTACTCTCCTAGATATGTGTATTTCTAAACATTTGTCCTATTAACACTGTTTGACCACAGTATGTTCAAAGCCTTTTCTTGTCCCCTGGAGACCATTTCAACACATGGGTCAAAAGTCCCATCCAAGAATCTTTGCCAGATTAACCAACTCATTCAATATTCATCTTGAATATGCGAAGTCATTTCCAATACCGAATGGTTTAACAGACTTGCCTGTGTCATGTGAATCAGAAGGGCTACTGAAAACAACTTTACATTTACTTGAGTGTTCAGATTTTAAAAGGCTGGCGAAAAGAAAGTACACGGAGGATAAACCAGGTGAATTGATAGGAAACACCTGGCATAAAGCTTGAGTCTAGTACTAGAATACTTCTTTACTAGGACAACTTGCTAAACTGGTTTCTGACTGCCCTTCCCTATAAACAGTACTTATTTGACAGTCTTGCCAAACAGTCCTTCTAGAAGAGTTTTTTTTCACTCAAGTTATGATTTAAAGATAAGATAATGTTGGTTGGAACTACAGGATATTATTTCAACACTAAGCTGGACTTATTCTGACTCCTTTTTTATTTCATGCTTTTATAAAAGGGGTTCATGCCGAAGGTACCCACCCACTTGTGTGCCAAGTCGAGGATGCTCTGCCTTGTCACTCCTGGAAGAATGATGCCATCTAGCGGAGGAGTTGCCAGTTCTTCTTCTATCAATTAGAAATTGGAATAGTTTCAAACTTTATTAGATGCTTTTTTTAAACAACAAACACTTCTTGTTATTTTTAAAAACACTTCTTGTTATTTTTCTAGTAACAAACACGAAAAGGGGGCCACTGTTCTGTACTGTCAAAATTTCCAAATCAACTCATACTTCAGGTAGATCCCTATGTTTTCTTTGGAAAAAAAAAAAGCAGAGAAAAGAAAATGAAAGAAAATCAGTCATCCTGCTGTTTAGTCACTAAGCTGTGTCTGACTTTTGCAACACCATGGACTATAGCCCGCCAGGCTCCTCAAGGTCCATGGGATTTTTCAGGAAGAATACTGAGTGGGTTGCCATTTCCTTCTCCAGGGGATCTTCCTGCCCAGAGGTTGAACCCGCGTCTCCTACATTGTCAGGTGGATTCTTTATCACTAAGCCATCAGGGAAGCCCAATCAGTCATCCTACCACCTTCAATTTATCCTTAACCAGTGAAAAATCAGATGGTTTCCCACTAACAAATAATAAGACTTATAAAATACTCCAAAGAGCAACATTCCAAAAGTCAAAAAAACATTCCAACCAAAGAGGAACATCCAAAAGTCAAAAAACATTACAAAGTCAAAAGATTAAAGCTGGTTGTGATTAGGAAAATGTAGGTGGACTCTTATCCAGAAACACTGGGCATTACCAAACCTTCTAAGAGTACTGTGGGGTAACCCTGTCCTAAGAGGTATGCATGCCCACTCAGGGTGTCACCGCGCCCACACTGGCATTGACAAGTCTATCCAGGGTGACATTCAACTGTGGAGGAGCATCACATCAAGTATGGAGATGTTGACTTCACCCTCTGAAATTCGAATGTAATGCATTCAGGGTGGGCTCAAGCACGTATATGCCTAACAAAGAAAACATAAAGAAAGAAGACAAAAAGAAATCCAAACAACAAAATAACACTCCAGGGGTGACCCACAGGGCCAAAGCCAAGATATTGGTTTACTAAGAGAATGACTGCAGACACTCCCAACCACAGTGCAAGTTGGCATGATGACGGGTCTACTAGACTCGGTGTGGGGCTTCCCTGGGGGCCTAGCAGTTGAGAATTTGCCTGCCAATGCAGGGAACATAGGTTCAATCCCTGGCTGGGGAAGATCCCACAAGCAATGGGACAATCAAACTAAGCCTATGTGCCATGACCGCTGAGTCCGAGTGCCATAACCACTGAAGCTCATGCACCTAGAGCCCGTGCTCCACAACAAGAGAAGTCATCCCCTGCGAGAAGCCTGCACACTGCAACAAACAACTCCCGCTGCAGCAACAAAGACCCAGTACACCCACAAATAAATAAATCTTACAAAAAAAAAAAATGTAGCATACCAGCCACACAGTCTCCTTACAGAAGGGTGCCTCTGGGACTCAACATTCCTCCTCACCTCTGGCACCCAGCAAGCTGAATCTAGTGAGAAATTCGAGCCTTAAACCATCACTTTATATAGATGTTGAACCTTAGAACAGATATGTTGCTTGTCATGTGTCTGCAGGACTTCACAAGGGATGCTAGAAAGGATCTCTGGGTAGCAAAAGTTGGGTAGAAATCAGTCTTTGAGCTCCAGAGCCACTTGATGCAGCCTAAAAGGACTTTAGAGATCACCTAGCACAGTCCTGTTTTACAGAAGGAGAAACTGAGGCTGAAGAAACATGTGACTTCCCAAGGTTGGTGACACTGGGGAACACTGTCAGCACTCAAGTCTCTCAACACTGTGGCCACCGCCCTTTCCTTTTGTAGACTGTGCTCTGGACTCATCCACTCCACTGTGGCCATGTGAGACGTCCCCAACAACACAGCTCTCTGGAATGCCAAGACTCTATGTTTATTCCTATGTCCCCAAAACTCAGCAACATGCCTGGCCCGGAGTGGTATGTAATACATACCACTGTAATGAGTATGTAATACATACTCAATGTTTTGGAGTTTAAAAAAAAAATCCTCTTTGCTAGGGTATAGCAGTATGATTTCTTCTAATTTTGAATCAAAAAATCATCTGCTGAAAACCACTGTTTCAAAAGTAAATTTGTTCTTGGCAATGTTTTGGGGGCTACTTTGATCTCAAAATAAACACGTGTTTTGCAATAGCAAGCAAGCTGGATACACGGATGTACAGATCTATATGTGCATGCACACACACACCCCTCACATATAAACAAACACTTCTAGTGCCCCATACTGGACCTCCCCTAAAGCTTCCTGGGCTCTAAGACTGCATGTGCTAAGTCACTTCAGTTGTATCCAACTCTTTGTGACCTCATGGACTGTAGCCCACCAGGCTCCTTTGTCCATGGTATTCTCCAGGCAAGAATACTGGAATGGGTTGCCGTGCCCTCCTCCTAAGACTGCATAAAGTTCAATGAAAACAGTGGCCCCGCCTGTGCAAATGCAGTTTTGTGAAACATATGTAACACCCAAATCTGTAACCACTAGCCTGAGGTCAAGGAACAGAACATCTGCTTCTCTGGTTGCCAGACAGAGATGATGACATGACAACATTTGGGTGAGAAATATTCATTTTCCTCTGCAACCACAAACAAGCTTACAGGAGCCAGAATGAGCTCCAGATTGCTCAACAGGAGGAAAACAGAGCCTACGAACACAGCTTGTTTTTGACAGAGAAATCATTTGGGGGAGATGAAGAGTTTAGAAGCAGTAACAGCAGGATTCATCTGACTTCCCAAATTCAAGCACTAATGGGAACCAGGAATGTGGGTTTCTGTTAATGACCCAAACACCAACAGCACAATCATTCATTCATTCAACAATACAGACTGAGCATCTATCAGTATCAGTGTCAGCATCAGTGCTGTTGGCCATTCTAAGTATGAGGGACACAGCAGTGAACAAAATCGGTGTAACTCCTTGCTCACTTTCTAATGAGCAGAGGCAAACAATTATATTAAATAGCATGTTAGGTGATGAAAGGGGGAAAAAAGAAGGTGATGGGGAGTGTTGGGAGAGAGTTTAAGATTTCTATTAAGGTATCCAAGAAAAGCCTTACTGAGAATGGGGTGTGTGGCAAAGACTTGAAAGAGGTGAGTAAGCAGCCACCCAGCCAAAGTACTCTGAGCAGATCTGGTGTAAATGCATCCCAAACTCACTCTGAAACTCAACCACGACAATCCCATCTTACTTTCTCAGTAGTTTCAGTGTCTAGTATTAGATAATACTGCTTTCTCAACAGTGAACAGCAAATGTGTATGTCATATGACTCATCAAAGAAATAAAGAAGAACTGGGGGCCATGTGATCTTACAATCAGGGCTGTGGTTATGGAATCAAAACCCACATGAAAAGACACTCAAAAAGGACCTACTGTATACACAAGGAACTCTACTCAGCGTTGTGATAACCTATAAGGGAAAAGAATTTTAAAAAGAATATAAACATACACACACACTGAATCACTTTGATATACACCTGAAACTAACACAACCTTGTAAATCAACTATACGTCAGTTTAAAAACAAAACCAAAAAAACCCATGAGTTCCAAGCCAAGTGCCACAAAACAGGGCACATCACTGTGGCAGCTACCTTGGCCCAAAGGAACGGTGAGAGTGGGCGCTCATGGAAAGAACTCTGCTTGTAACTCTAATTGGAAAGCTTTTTGGGGAAAAAACTCAATATTTTGCTGATTTTCAACACATTATTCTTTGTCTTTTCCTAAAGCCACACAGTATAAATCAAAGTTACTAGAGTTGCTGCAATGTCTGTTTTCTTTTTAAGCCCAAAGCTTATTCCTGACATTTCCCTCACTTCTCTCAGAGCACTGCTCAAACATTTGTTCCATTTCCTTTCTCCTTACTTTAAATTTTATCTGATCTGTCAGTGAACACCCTCAAACTGAAGGAGCATCTTCACGTTAAAACTATACTTATCTCATAACCTGAATAGGAACTCTCAAGGTCTTGTATATTTTAGAAGAGCCAGAAGACAAATTCATTCAATTCTCTTCTGACCTTTAAAAGTCATGGAAATGGTTCATGATTATTGTTTGCATAAGGGGTCATTTTTCACCAGGACAGTTTCTGGTGTTTCTGGTTAAATCATGTAGCTCTGATTCAGACTGTGCTTAAATTCTGACATCTCCCATCCATAAATAAGGATGGTGCCACTTCTGTCTGTATGATGTCACTGGTTTTGTTTGGGGTTGCGTGGGTTTTCTTGGCGATGGGGATGGCAGTGGGTAGATGGAAAGAATGAGCTGAATCAATTTATTATCTCCTATGTACAGAGTTCAACAGTGGCTGTCAACTTTCAGGCACAGCTTTTGATATATGTCATATGCAAAACTCTAAATTAGAAATCACAAATATTACAGTACAAATTTTGTTTTTCAAGAGTGTCAACTACAAACAGCCAGGTATGGAAGGACAAACATAATCTATATCTGGCTTTTCCATATGCCAAGAGTTACCAAGGATCAATCCCAGAACATGGTGTACTCACTCACCACACCTTCTGTTTATTCTCACTGTGACTGGAATATAAGGCTCATCTTGTAATTCTCTGAAAGCAATGCTCAAATTAGCTCTGAAGTCAGCCACATCTGAATCACCATTTCCCTCTAGTTGTAGCCAAATAACAAAAGAGCAATAGAGGCTACTATATCTGCTTTAAAATTAAAATTTCATTTAAAATCTGAATTAAAACCAATACCAAGATTTCAGCAGTATTGGGTGGCCAAAAAATTGTTCAAACTCAACTCAATCTTTGGAAACTTATTTTACATTTGGGCTTTCCCTGGGGGCACAGACTGTAAAGAATCTACCTGCAATGCAGGAGACTTGGGTTTGATCTCTGGCTTGGGAAGATCCCCTGGAGAAGGGAATGGATACCCACTCCAGTATTCTTGCCTGGAGAATCCCATAGACAGAGGAGCCACATTTGGAAACTTATCATTTTACATTTCTAGTCTGTGGTTTCTGCCAACTAATTTAAAAAAAAAAGAACTGCAAAGAAGGAAAGTGAGCATTCAGGAAGGATATTAAAGGTAATAAAGAAGTACTGATTTTTGTAGTAGATATATGTTAATGGTCTTAAATGAACCACAATCTAAACACAATCCCCAAATAAGACCAATTTGTCCTAAAAACGGTGTCTTTTACTCAAATAGAGCTCCAGTGTAAATCTGGAAGGCTTCTAATGTATTATCAAAATATGTAGAAAGGGCAATGATTGTGAAATGAATTACAGCAAGAGAGTGTCCTAAATTTCATATCAGTAGAAACAGTAGACTATGTTTAATACTACAGTGTCTTATACTGTATACACATGTATACATATATGTATACATATGCATATAGTATACGGTAAATGACCACAGGCTTCCCCAGTGGCCCAGACATAAAGAATCCACCTGCCATGGAGGAGAGGTGGGTTCAGTCCCTGGGTTGGGAAGAGTCCCTGGAGGAGAACATGGTAACCCACTCCAGTATTCTTGCCTGGGAAATGCCATGGGCAGAGAAGTCAGCAGGCTACAATCCATGAAGTCACAAAGAGTCAGACACGGCTGAAGCAACTGAGCATGCATGCATGCGTGGTAAATGACCACTGAAATAATCAGATAGGAAAAATGATAAGATAATAAAAAGGATAAGGCAGCACATTTTCAAATAGTGGAGATTTAAATTCCTTAAGTTGACAACTCAAAAGTAAGTACATTTAAAGCCAAAAAACAAAGCCCAAAATCTTTGTAAATACTGTAAACTTAAACTCATGTATACCTGGACAGTGAAAGCACAGAAAATCTTAAGATCTTGGAAGTATGCTACTCATTCTCTTGTTCTAAGGTTTTAGTTCTTTTCTCTCCAATCCCACTGAAAATGATTGAAAAATAGCAGAGAGCTGAAATCTGAGTGGATTACCTCCATCTTCATTTATCCAATAAAGAAAAAGATTCATAGTTCCAACTTCAGTTATTTGATTATCTTCTCCATAGAGCCACAGAACCTGCTGACATGCATTTTCCACTGCTTCGCATTGGGCAAAAAGAGATGAGCCATAATTCCTTTTAAGAAAGAGGAAACACATGATTATGAATATACTTCAGTCCCTACCTCCCAGCAAGTCTTTAATTCAAGCGTGGATGTAGTCAATGTACTAGGTTCTTAATTATATATCCTCTCCAGTTAACTGCATAATATTAAAGGAAACACATTTGAGAATCAACATGGTCTAACTGCATTCATTTGAGAGAGAGAGAACAAAGAAAAACTGCTGCAATTCTAAGTTGAAAAGAGAGAACACAAGTGAAGAGCCAGTTATTGAGTATTTTTGTCACATGCCAATCAATTTTACGTGAATTATTTCATTTTGTAGGCGTGCTACTTTTTCCCTTGTTCCAAGGTTCTAGTTCTTTTCACTGGAAAAGACCATGATGCTGGGAAAGATTTAAGGCAAAAGAAGAAGAGGGCAACAGAGGATGAGCTGGTTGGATAACATTACTGACTCAACGGGCGTGAATCTGAGCAAATTCTCGGAGACAGTGAAGGACACAGAAGTCCAGGGTGGGCAAGTAACTAAGTTGCTCATAAGTTCTTCTTTGAGTTTACTCACTCATTCATTTCAATGTACAAAAAAAAAACAAAAAAAAAAAACCCTTTGAGAGATGTATTTTCTCCTTTTGAGAATGGTGGTAGCTTATCTGCTATGATGCTGGGTCTCTTGTATCCATGATCACCAGCCTTCAAAGGAGAAGACATCTGAAGCAGCAGAGCCCTCAGCTAACAGAAGCTAGCCAGAAGCTTTGACAAGAGTTGGGGGAAGGATGGAAAGAGAGGGACAAGGAGGGAAGAGAGAGACTGGGGTGGAAGTAGCATGAACAGGACATATGCAAGGGCAAAGCAACCTGGTGACAATGATTTGAGCTCTTATTGGTCCACAGCTACCATCCTACTAACATGAGCCAGTCAATCCCTTCTCTGCTCAAGATGGATTGAGCTAGTCTTCTGACCTGTAACTCAAAGACTAGTGACTAATAACTGAAGTATTCTAGAAAGCTATGGGAAATAGATATCATACAATCTGGGGAATGATGAGATTTACTTATACCAAGGTGTTCAGATTCCTTTAAAAGACCCTCAACATGTATACTTCAAAACACAGGCAAGGAAATGTAAATTACTAGTCAGTCTGGAGATGACACAATTCTAATATTCAGGAGGCTTTCATTTTTAATGACCATAAAACGTCAGACCACCCATATTCAGAACTAATGGCAAATATGCAGTTACTGGGTTCAATTACGAATACTTTTTAAGGAGTATAAACCAGCCTGCAGGGAGAGTTTGGTAGGCCGAGCATGGTTTTGGAGCCAATAGGCCCAGATGCAGCTCTTTAACATCTATTTCTTGTTATTTAGTTGCTAAGTTATGTGCGACTCTTTTGTGACACCATGGACTATAGTCTACCTGCCTCCTCTGTCCATGGGACTTCCCAGGCAAGAATACTGGAGTGGGTTGCCATCTCCTCCAGGGGATCTTCCTGACCCAGGCACTGAACCTGCATCTGCTTCACTGACAAGTGGATTCTTTACCACTGAGCCCAGAGAAGCCCATTTATAGCTGTGTTTTTCCCTGAATACAAATGTGTATCAAAATTCTCTCTCAGGTGATGTCCACTGGGTTATTGATACTTTGGTAATATACTTGGGCTTCCTTCCACATGCTGCTAATATTAAGAAGGAAAACACATGTCCTTGGAGGAAAGAGGAAAATGAAAAAGTGGGAAAACTATCTACATATAATTTTAATGTAGAATCTGGGAGACTAGGAATATTGAATACATCCCTCCAAAAGAGTAAATCCTACTGTGTGCAGTCTAACTGATTGTTCCCAGGAGAGAGTCCAGGAGGTAAAACCAGAAAGAAAGAGAGCCTCATAATATAAACTATTTGTTGAGACAGTACCACCTACCAGGCAGGGTACTAGGTTCTGAACCCCATTATTCAACAAATTGTCTTAACACAACCCTAGATGTTATTACACTTTTGAGGACTTGTAGGGAGAAAGGACTTAATTGCATAAGATCATGCAGATATGTGCACGATTCGTGGGTGTCTCTGATTCCCAAGTCCACGCTGGAAACTGCTAGGTTCTGGCTCCATACTTGCTGAGCACTCCCTAAGTGCCAGCCAGGATCCTAGGCGCTTCACACTGTCCTCCTTCATCCTCACGGGTAAAGTGGGCATTATTACCCTCACTTTATCAATGAGCAAACTAAGGCTCAGAATTTAAACTAATCTAAGTTTAAAAGTTCTAAGATTAAAAACTTTAATTTTAGAATTAAAAAAATATATATATTCTCTCTCTTCCTCAGATTCACTTAGACAGAAAGCAGAAAATTCTTGAGCTTGTGAAAGTCAATAGACATTTAATAACTACAAATTGACTACAGGGATACTAAAAAAAGATTAGAAGGTAACTATTGAATAAGTTGGAGGAGGGCATGGCAACCCACTTCAGCATTCTTGCCTGGAGAATCCCCATGGACAGAGGAGCCTGGCGGGCTACCGTCCATGGGGTTGCAAAGAGTCAGACACGACTGAGCGACTAAGCATAGCACAGCATTGAATAAGTTAGGTCTAAAGAAGAACAATAATACATAAAACTAAGGTCACCGCCAAACGCCTTTGTTAACTAAACTGAATGATGGTAGATAGAAAATCATTTGTTTCCCTGTGATCCTCCAGGTTGGGAGCACAGGAGCAGAGGGTTTGAAACTCTTGGAAACAACAGGCGGGTGTGTGACAAATCCACCCTCTGCTTCATGCCTGCCCTCTTGTCAATTTTGTTTTTGTGTATGAGGCCCAATATTCTCTTCTCTAAGAAATTTCAAGTCCACTGATTCTGGTCCACGTGAGACTAATGAGTCAAACTAGTAATTTATTTTATAGTTCGCTTTATTTCTTAGAGAAGTTTCAGATTACAGAAAACCTGAGCAAAAAACAGAGTTTCTATAACTCTTATTCCTCAATTTCTATTTCCCTTCTTACTAACATCTCACACTAGTGGGGTATACTTGTTATAACTGATGAGACAATATTGAAATACTTGTTCATAGTAACACCGGAGTTCAGTCTTTGCGTTGTACAGAAAGTATTGATTTTTAACTGTTTTTTAATGATTGTATATTCTATGAGACTGCCTCAATATCCTCTTTGTGACAAATAACCATCTGCCCAGACACCAAACTAAAGGATTCCCTGCAATTTCTGCGTCCCCATATTATCTTTTCCCTAGGCAGGTAGGGGGAGCTAGAGAGTAAGATTTTTTTTTTCCTTTTTTTTTTAATGGTTGGCATCTTTTTTTTTTTTTTTTTTATCAAGTGTGAAACAGATCACCAGTCCAGGTTGGATGTATGAGACAAGTGCTCAGGGCTGGTGCACTGGGAAGACCCAGAGGGATGTGATGAGGAGGGAGGTGGGAGGGGGGTTCAGGATGGGGAACACATGTAAATCCATGGCTGAGTCATGTCAATGTATGGCAAAAACCACTACAATATTGTAAAGTAATTAGCCTCCAACTAATAAAAATAAATGAAAAAAAAAAAACCGAGTAAGATTCAAAGAAGAAAAAATTTTAAGTTATCTCTTCATCAAGACTGTTGCTTTAGTGCAAAGTGTACTCTGAAAGAAGTTTTAATAGAGTAATACAGATATGCTCTGTGAATAAGTCTGAAAAAGTAAAAAAGCCATCAAGAGAGCAAACAAAAAAGTTTTTGATCTGGCTAGCCTAGGACTTAGGAAAGAGATCTAACAGGGAAAAAAGGGACTTAGTTTATTTAATGAACTCCATCAGAATTTTTTTTTTTTTTCCGGGCTTCCCTCATAGCTCAGTCAGTAAAGAATCTGCCCGCAATGCAGGATACCTGGGTTTCATCCCTGGGTTGGGAAGATCCCCTGGAGGAGGAAATGGCAACCTATTCTAGTATTCTTGCCTGGAAAATTCCATGGACAGAAGAGCCTGGCATGCTACAGTCCATGGGGTTGCAAGAGTAGGACACAACCTAGCGACTAAGCCACCAACATCAGGATTTTTCTGACCCGATGAGGGACTGCAGTTAGTGAGTGAATGCCAGAAGGGATCACAGGACATAGCATTTTACCACCATGCCTTTTGGGGGGTAGAAAAGTGAGAAATAGAGAAAGTCTATGGAGGGTTCAAAGCCAGCTGTCAAGATCTCTCTGGCATGTCAGCACCACATCCTTCCTCTCTCCCAGGGCTCGAGACTCTACAGTTTGCACCAGGGCCCAGAAGACTGCCACTGAGTCAGCTTGCAGGCCAGCTGGTGCTCCTCCAAAGGAAGAGCCACACTGGGTAACCCGGCTATCCTTGTTCACCCATTGGGGCATTCCCGATTCACGGCCAAGTCCACCCCTGAAATCGTCTAACGCTTTCAAATGCTCTTTTATTTCCAGCCAGCTACATATGGCCTATGAGACTGGCCTGACCGAGCCAAAACAGGGCTGTCCCACAGCCAGTTGGCAGCAGATCGGGCTGCAATCTGCGGGAATGAAGACAGCACTTCAGTGAAGCAGGCCCCTTCTCCAGACAGGACTCCTTGGAGCCGACTGAGAGCGTGGGCCCCGACACCAGATGCTCTCGAATGCCAACTGTCAGCCCGCAACCAGGGACCAGCATCCCGGGCAGTTCATCCAAAGCGCTGATTTCATTCCTGGTGTAGTCTTGCTTATGTGTAACGGTCAATGTTTCTCCCTTACAAAGGGCCACAGAGGTTATCCTTCAAACAACTAGCACATTCAAATCACTGAAGACTAAACACAAAATAAAAATGAACATTCCAGTGTGAATACTAATATGTATATTTGTACTGAAGTGAAATGGCCACAAGGGACTCTATCCTTTAGACAGAAACATAGACCAACTTACCCTCCCATCTTGCAGTCTCCGGTCCCACCTTTCCAGGCTCTTACATACTTCGGGTTGGCCCACAGGGACACAGGATTAAAGCTTCCACTGGAAAAATAAGGTCCCACTGGGCTCAAGATTACAAAAAGCAGGGCTTTAGTCGGCTTCTTGACTCCCAGAGAAGGCTGGAATATAGTAAAAGTACACACAACTGTTAATCTAAAACGCAGATGCCAGTCTCAAAGTCTAGAACAGATCGGCAACATCTCCCAGAAGCCATCAAATGACAGCTGTTCCTCTTGAAGCTGAGTTACACAAAGCCTGACGGTCTTCTGAGAAGAAAACACCAAGACTTAGTTCCATTTTGCTTTCAGAGTTATGATTTTAAAGGAAAGGCAAATTTGTCTATTGTTTTATTGGTAGGTTTTTTGTGCGTGCTCAGTTGCTGGGTCCTGTCTGACTCTTCGTGACCTCATGGATGGTAGCCCGCCAGGCTCCTCTGTACATGGGATTATCCCAAGCAAGAATACAGGAGAGGGTTGCCATTTCCTCTTCCAGGGAATCTTCCTGACCCAGGGATCGAACCCACGTCTCCTGGGGCACCTGCATTGGCAGTGGATTCTCTACCACTGAGCCACCTGGGAAGACCAGTACATTGTCAACTAGCCATATATTTTTGACAACTAGCCATATAACACCTTTCAGGATTGCAGTCATTGGGAACTGAAAAAGCAAAGAACCTGGACATGATTTCAGTCTTTGGGTTTGAAACCTAATATTTGCTTCTCTAACTTGCCCTTCTACTTTGTTCAAAACACTCTGGTGCCAGCAGACTTGGGCTGGGGAACGTGCCATTAGCACATCCAACGGTGACAGATAACAGACACCAAGAGTGTAGCTTCACTAGAAGCAAAGACATCAGACAAGACAAATCCCCGCCACCCGGGCCCCCGCCCACCAAAAGACAGAGGACGAAGGACTCAGGAATTCATATTAGGAATGACAAGGAGAGAAAACGGCCTTCCCCACAAACACTGAGAAAATCGCAAGCCAACAATGCAATCATAAATTCCTTCAGCACAAAAGCAGTTACTCTCAGTTGCTTTTTAAAGAGGAAAATTGAGAGACTAAAAAGTTTTGAGGGTTACATATCCTAAAGGCATTAAAGGTTGCTGGGCTATCCTGTACAGTTTCAGGCCACGCAGGTAAGAAAACAAATTAAGACTATTATATTAAGTCATGGGCAATAAAATACATATGTTGAGTCTTCAAAAAAGAAGCCTAGTCTGCCTGGATGGGGTAGCAATCTGGTGTAAAAATAATGAGAAGAGACTCAAATTCAGCTAATTCGTGACTTTTGTAATATTTAATGAAACTGGCTAAAAGTGGACCTGGGGCTATATTTTTTTTTTTCTGAATTTCAATTAAATCTCTTCTGCTACCTTTTAGCTCATGAGGCCTCACCCACTACTTACGCCCAGGTGAAGAATGAGGTAGGTAAAAGATGTGTGAGCATGATACAATGTGTTTGTATAAGAGGCTTAGGAAATGGGAAACAGTCCATTCACACAGCATGTGAACCTGAGGGTCACACAGGGCTTGGTTGGCCCCAAAGGAAACGGATAAAGAGTGACAGGTACCAAGTTAAAGAAATGAGTCAGTTCACAGACTTAGAGAATAAACTTATGGTTGCCAGGGGGGAAGGATGGGGTGATGTTTAGGATTAGGATATTTAGGATGCATGTTTAGGATTGACAAGAACACGCAACTGTATTCAACAAGGATCTGAAGTATAGCACAGGGAACTCTGCTCAATGTGATGTGGCAGCCTGGATGGGAGCAGAGTTCGGGGCACAATGGACACGTGTATATGTATGGCTGAGTCCCTCTGCAGTCCATCTGAAACTGTCACAACATTGCTAACAGGCTATACTCCAATGCAAAATAAAAAGTTCAAATTAAAGAAAAAGATACAGAAACGAGTCAGTGGTAGGGAAATTAAAGTCTTGTTTAGGCTTCAGAGACAAAGCAGAGCAGGCCTCCGACCTTGCTTCTGACCTACATGGATACAGCCCTGACTACTGCGGTGGGTGTCAGCCACACCTGCTGTGAGTGTGAGAAGAGAAACACAATAGATAGAGAGGCAGCAGATCTTGGAGTTTGTCAAGTCCCTTGAGGAGATCTGGCCTACCACTCCTAGGACTTAGTAACATTCCAAGATTTGTGTGACAAAGCAAGGGTTAGTTGCTCAGTCCTTTCAGCCTCTGTAGCCCACCAGGTTCCTTTGTCCAGGGGATTCTCCAGGCAAGCCGACTGGAGTGGGTTGCCAATTCTTTCTCCAAAAAAGGAAACAGCATTGTAAAAAAATAACATAATACCAGAGCTGCAGTTTTGCTGACAGATTGATGATGATATATCAATAACCTCAGATATGCAGATGACACCACCCTTATGGCAGAAAGTGAAGAAGAACTAAAGAGTCTCTTGATGAAAGTGAAAGAGAAGAGTGAAAAAGCTGGCTTAAAACTCAACATTTAGAAAACTAAGATCATGGCATCTGGTCCCATCACTTCATGGCAAATAGATGGAGAAACAATGGGAACAGTGACAGACTTTATTTTCTTGGGCTCCAAAATCACCTCAGATGGTGACTGCAGCCATGAAGTTAAAAGATGCTTACTCCTTGGGAGGAAAGTTATGACCAACCTAGACAGCATATTAAAAAGCAGAGACATTACTTTGCTGAAAAAGGTCCGTCTACTCAAAGGTATGGCTTTTCTAGTAGTCATGTATGGATGTGAGAGCTAGATCATAAAGCGAGCTGAGCGCCGAAGAATTGATGCTTTTGAACTGTGGTGTTGGAAAAGATTCTTGAGAGTCCTTTGGATTGCAAGGAGATCCAACCAGTCAATCCTAAAGGAAATCAATCCTGAATGTTCACTGGTAGGACTGATGCTGAAGCTGAAACTCCAATACTTTGGCCACCTGATGTGAAGAACTGACTCACTGGAAAAGACCCTGATGCTGGGAAAGACTGGAGGCTGGAGGAGGGGATGACAGAGGATTAGATGGTTGGATGGCATCACTGACTCGATAAACATGAGTCTGAGCAAGCTCTGGGAATTGGCGATGGACAGGGAAGCCTGGGGTACTGCAGTCCATGGTGTCTTTAAGAGTCGGACACGACTGAGCAACTGAACTGAACTGAACTGATGATGATATATCAACTTGCATCCTGGGATTATAAGTGGGAGAAATGCAATCTTTGAAGTCTCACCCACAAAGCGGATGCGCTGCCTGGGACCTTTGCCTAGTTGGAACTCCAGACTGCTGTCACACGAGACATCCCAGTGCTGTTTAAGTCCGGGTGTTGGCAAATCCAATTTGGCGATGTAGGTACTATTGCTCCCCTCTGCTGTTTCTATTTCTTTTTTCTTTTATGTTAGAATATTGAAAGTAGACTAGATAGTTCTGTTAGGGGAAGCACACTGGTTGAAACTGCCCACCCTGGCCAGGTACCATAGTAACCATTTGCATGAGTTGTTTTATGACAGGAGATCCTGATAAGGAATACGGAACTAATAAGTCACCACCAAATAAGCCACCACCAACCGGAAGAGTTGGGGAAAGGTCAAAAGGAGACACTGTGTGCCCGTCCACTTCCCAGAATCCCTCTCACTAGCATCCATCTTGGCTGAGCGATGCGTGGGCCACCAGGAAAGACTCTGAATTAGAATGATTGGCCAAAGACCACCCGGAAACTAATCCCATCACCATAAAACCCAAGACTTCAAGCCATGTGGCAGAGCAGTTCTCCTGGGTTCCCTCACCCTCCTGCTCTCCACCCGGGCGCGCTTCCCCAATAAAATCTCTTTCTTTGTTAGCACATGTGTCTCCTCGGATACTTAGATAAGAGCACAGTTTCGGGCCCTGGAAAGGGTCCCCCTTCCTGCAACAGTTCTCTAAGAAATATTTGTATTGCTTATTTGTATATAAAGAGTGGCTTATTTTGTTAACAAATCCTCTGGACCTGAGACAAAAGTGAAAACTCTCAGCAAAACAGCCAGCAAGCAACAACAGGTTTTGGTTTTTTTGCTCATTTGGGTTTGCTCTTTAGTGGGGGCTGAAGAGGACACCTCTACAAAGAATGAGGAGACTTAAACTCCATTTGCTTTTATTGGTTTCATTATTTGTAAAAAGAAATTCCCAGAATAACACACACATGTGCCTTTCTTCCCAACTTTGATAAAAATTGACTATCTTATCTCTGCACTTTTATCTACTTGTCAGTTAAGTAAGTACACTTCACATCAGGGGGGCTTTGAAGCTTTACATTAAAAAAAAAATTATTGACCATTGTAATAAGGAGTTAAGCTTCTCAACATAATTTAGAAATACAATATGCAGGACACAATATCAATAATGTATCTAGCTTCTAATGTTCTAAATAAAATACCTTATTTATGGATAAGCTGATAAGCATTTTATTACTGACATCACATGAATGCCTGGACTTTTTTCACTCTTGTATTTTTTGCAACCTACACTCTACTAAAAAAAAAAGTAACAATAACTCATCATCACAGATAAATTTCATGTTATTCATTTCCTTCCCTTGATTTTAATTAACAGGTAAACTTGCATTTAATCCACTAGATGGCAGTAGAGAGAAAACAGATGGAAAACAGAGTAACTAAATCTATTTCCAGAGAAGGAGATCCTGATGAAAATCTTTAAACAATATCTTTATCCCAAGATCCCCTCGAGGAGGAAATGGCAACCCCTTCCAGTATTCTTGCCTGGGAAATCCCATGGACAGAGAAGCCTAGTGGGCTATACAGTCCATAAGGTTGCAAAGAATCAGACATGACTAAGGGATTAAACCACGACCACCATTCTTAGCAAGCAGGTAGATTATAGACTAGAATTTTTCAATGCTGAGAGAAAATGTGTTTATGTGTACTAACTTTTTAATTTAAGCAAGGTCAACTCATATTTTGCAAGCACTTTAAGTGCTGGTGTTAATCATAGCTCAGTCACCTTCATCCTTAAATAATTATTTATGTCAAATATCTTTCTATGAAAAGAACTATGACTTTACTGAAAATGATCACACTGTTTCATAAGTGAGAGTAAATAAAATGTAACTTTTTGGATCAGGAAGGGAACCTGGTGATTGGATCTG